TTTTTTTTTTTTTTGGTGCTAAAATACAGAGCATGGGAAACTGCTCCAAGTACAGCTTTTTGTGGTTTATCCAAATAGCAGCTTGAATGGGCTGTGTGTTAGATTTTTGCGAAGTTCTAATGTAGTTCTTCTCAAATGGAAGGAGAGGACAACCCTCCCTTACAGAGTTTGGAAAACTACCATTTCATTTCTGTGTGGTGGGGAGTTTGTTTTCCAGTTGCATCTGTGTATGCGCAGATAGACACAGGTTAAAGGGCATGCACACAAAGCTGTAGTCAGTGTTAGTGTGTTGAGCATGGTGTGTGCATTTGCATGCTGAATGATAGGTCAATAGAATCACAGAATCACAGAATCTTCTAGGTTGGAAGGGACCTTAAAGATCATCTTGTCCAACCATCAACCTAACTGACAAAAATAGACACCCACACAACAAACAAGAAGCATCACCATCACTAAACCATACCTCCCAGCACTACATCAACCTGTCTTTTGAACACCTCCAGGGATGGTGCCTCAACCACCTCCCTGGGCAGCCCATTCCAATGTCTGATAACCCTTTCAGTGAAAAAATTTTTCCTAATATCCAGCCTGAACCTCCCCTGGCGTAACTTGAGGCCATAAACATAGAACAAACTAGTAGAGACAGACACAAAGCAAGTCGGTGGAACAGAAAAATAGAAATTATCAAAAATCTGCTGTAAAATATGTCAATATACTTAAAATATGTCAATGTACTAAATATAATTGTTACTGTAATCATTTTTACAATATCATTTTAACATTCTTTTTATGTATAGTATGTGCATAGTTTAGAATATTTCAGAGGAAAGCAGTGGCTGGTACAGAAAAGTTGAAGAACTGCCAATTTAATGCAAGAAGCGTAAACTTTAATACCTTTAACATGGCAAACTGTCATATTTTCTTATGTCACAAAGATATCTAAGGAGTCTGAGGACTTTATAGTGGAGCAGTATAAGCGACTACGGCAGCGCGATGGCTCTGGAGTGACCAAGTCATCCTGGAGGATCACAGTGCGACAGTTGGAAAGCATGATCCGGCTGTCTGAAGCTATGGCCCGTATGCACTGCTGTGATGAGGTATCAGCTTTTTGGTGAAAGCTCACATAAATGTTTATAAAAATGTTGTGGGAGCTGTGGCTTTGCTCTTTGACTGTGATATTTTAACTGTCTAAATCCTGTGTGTGAGGAGGAGAGCTTGGATCGTGTTTTCACTTGTGATGTGGTCATACTCGATCTGAATTTGTACGCCAGAAATACTGGTTTTAGGGTATGTCTTGTAAAACTGAGATCAGATGGTCCAAACTGAGAAGATGCATAGTTTTCCATTACAGTTGTATCAGCACTCTCAGCCTGTTACCTATCAAATCATGACAAATGGGTAGAACAATCACCTATTAGTATCAGCCAGGGCTGCTGACGGTGTCGCTCCCCTAATCTTGCACAATTTGTAATCTCTCTCGGCTGCAATCTAAGAAAGCCAAAGTTCATCGAAGTATATGAACCTCCCTAAGAGTACTTGAATTTATTATTATTATCCATCTATTCCCTGCTTTAAAACTCAGCAGGCTTTTTGAAATGTTGATTAGGGGTTATGTGGTACGTGCAGAGATAGAAACTGGCTCACTGGTTTTGTAAGAAGGACACCCGTTGGGTTCTTTTTAATTGAATTCAGCTTATAAAGAAACAGATAGCTTTTAGCTTATGGCTCAGCTAGAGGTGATTTTTCCAGTTTTTGCTTTTCAATTCCAGGGGAAAGTCTCATTAATTACAATTATTTTTTCATATTGTTTCTATGCAGACATGTTCCTTTCATGTTTGCTTGCTCCACTGATGTTTCTTCAAAATGTTCTTGGCCTAAGTAAAAAATTTTGTCAACTCCACATGATCACTGAAGCCTGAAAGATTCATCAGGCTGCTTATTCCCTCCATAACCTTGTGTGAACTCAGAGCATTACAGTGGGGTATAATTTGACTTGTAGAGTCTTTACTGCTTAGGATTAATCAGGTGAGATGGGTAGAAAGACCCTTTGTCAGTCAGGTCAGGGGTGAGGTTCTGGAGTTACTGGGGGAAAAAAAACAGCTTTTAATAATAGAAGAGCCACCGTGCCCATTTAATACATGTTTTTTTGAAACATTCCCCAGGTTCACCCGAAACACGTGAAGGAAGCTTTCAGGCTTTTAAATAAGTCCATCATTAGAGTTGAGACTCCTGACATCAATTTAGACCAAGATGATGAACAGCAAATGGAGGATCAAGAGGATCAAGACGGAGTCAATGGTAAATTACTTGTAGAAAATTTAGAGAGTATTCCATCCTTTACAGCTTTTATGCTTTTCTTCAGTTTCTCAACTGTTTCTCATCTAATGATGCCTAGAATCCTGACTCCTGTTAACTCTCTTAATTCTTCAGCCTCCTTGTGGGTACGCTCGCCTGGTTGGTCAATGCAAAACTTTTCAGTATTGAACAGTTAAAAGGTGTTGCAGATTTAAACCTGGACATGTGTCCAAACAGGTGAGGCAGAAGCTCCAGCTGGAGTCAATGGTCTTGTGAATGGGATCAATGGCCATTCTGAGGACACGAACAAGGATGCTGCTCCCAAAGCTTCTCTTAGACTGGGCTTCTCTGAGTATCGGCGAATTTCTAATCTCCTGGTGCTGCATCTCAGGAAGGCAGAAGAAGGTAAGAATTTGTTTACTGAAAAGATGGTAGATCCTGAGTTGTGTTGCCATGTGTGCATTGACTCTTTACTAAAACAAATCCATCTGAAGCTCAGAAGGGAGTTCTTGAGCTGTGGAGACAGCTGTATCTTCCAGACACTTCGGAGAGAAAGGGCTTGAGCACGTCATGTATTAAAAAGTTAGGACAGAAGGTTGTGATCACAAATTCTTGAGCAATGGTTGCTACTTCCTCCTGTGCATTTTTCAGTGTAATTTGCTAAACATTACTGTGTGAGTAGAATCTTTGCTTCTGAGCACCCTGACGTACTTTAAACATGTTAACAGAGCAACCTCTGCAGAGGTTCACAAACTCGCTGCGCTGGGGCTTAGCCCAGGTGGCTGCATCGGTTCAGGGAGCAACTCTTACCCCATCTTAGGCTGTTCCACTTGTGATTTTCACTCCTGCTGAAACACTAGGCTTGTTAGGTCAGGTGTGACCCCATACACATATGGCTATACTACATTTGATGGCAGGAAAATGGCTTCTTGGGCTTTCTAGCTCTGGTATTTTAGTCATTTGTCAAAACCCAGTAAATGAAGGAACTCAGTAGAGCAGATCCAGGAAAGGATTTGTCGAATATGCTGGTTTAGCCTGGTAGAATAATTAGCAGCAATGAAAACTGTAGCAAGAGCTTTAATGCATGCCAGCAACCACAGCCTAAAGTACATACTTAAGCAAGATGTGCCCAATGGCTGCATTCTCTCTTGCGGAGAGGAAATATTTCAGTTGCAATGAGGCTCTTCCTGTGACCAAATGCAGCAGATGTCTGATAGCATGTAACCATGTTACAAAGTCTTTGCATGAGTGCAGAAACTACAAGAAATGTTCAAAATACTGAGTACTTGTAGAAGGATGGCCTCTTCAGTTTTGGGTGACAGATTTTCTTTTGCCCTTACTTAGAGGAAAGTTCTACAACTCCTTAAAGCTACTTTTTCTTGAAGCTGAGGGCAGTTGCTAGGCTGCTCATTTTCAGTTGTAAGCCACATGGATGCAATAGAACTGAAAGCCTCAATTCTCAGTCTAAATATCTCTGATAAAACAATGATACAACAGCCTCCTGTACAAAACATGCTGATAAAAAAACCAGAAGAAGGTCTGATGGGCTATTGCACACTTCTCTCTTTAACATTGTAAGTGTTCACAGGGAAATCCTTTTCTCTTACAGTTTGAATGGTATCTTACTGCTGCTGTTTATGCAAATTGTTTTCTTTGCAGAAGAGGACGATTCATCATTAAAGAAGAGTGAACTTATTAATTGGTATCTAAAGGAAATTGAATCTGAAATAGAGTCTGAAGAAGAACTAATAAATAAAAAGAAGATCATAGAGAGAGTCATTCACCGACTTACGCATTACGTATGTATAGAGATGTGTGAATAGTTAAAAAGGGTTTTAACTTTTATAGTGCAATTATTCATTTTTAATAGAATATGTTGCTAATTTGGGAAATGTGTTGTGTGCTTCCATATCATTGAATGATGCAGTATAAATGCCTTTGTTTAATATCTATTAAAAATTATTATAGAGAAAACACTCAAGTACGTTAGAGATCTGCATAAGTAGAAGTTCAAAGTGCCATATTATGTCCCTCTAGAAGTGTAAGTGATATTGTTCTGTAGCTCTATAGTGTTGGTTATACATTAGGATACAGAAATGCAAACAATGCTTTATTCCATAGACAGCTTAATTCATGGGAGCACTAGGGTGTTTTGGAGGAAGAAGCATGAAAATATAAAATACTTCCCATTTTTAAAGGTATAAAACCACTAGATTGAAGCCTTCCCAGAAAGCATGCAATATATAAGAGATTTCCACTGACCATAATTGTTACGATTAGAAACCTGTTAAAGAGGGAGTTTGCAATTAGAAGGGTTAAATAACTCATCAAGGGGTGCTACCAGAGTAAAAAGGAGATGCCTTTCAAAAAGTGCAAACAAACCTTTATCATTCTTGTTTGAATACGAATTTTTGTCTGTTGCAGGACCACATTCTGATAGAACTGTCCCAGTCAGGACTGAGAGGATCCAGGGAAGCGGAGACTTTTGATGAAGATCCATATCTGGTGGTCAACCCAAACTATCTGCTGGAAGACTAAGGGATGTGGACTGGATTGTAGAGCTGACTCAGAAAATGCATTCTCTTCTGCGTTCTTGCAATGGTTGCTCTGTAGCTGCATCTTAAATCCATGTGAATGCTTTACTGTGGAACGTGCCAATGTGTGGTTAGTAATATATGATTGCTCATTTACACTGAGCATACCTGGAAAGCTTTTAAAGAAATTACACACTTATATATTAGGTTTGTTATTAATTTTGGGTTTCACTGCCATCATCCAGATGCAGAGGAGAAACATTCAATAGCTCTTTGCAGCCTCAAGCTATGGAGATGCTTCTGTTTTAAATGAGAGGAATTTTGCATTGTTCTTCTATTGTATTTAGTAGACTTTTTATGCTATAGGGTTTTACTACTTTTCTTATTAACATAAATAAAAGATCATTAAATGTCTGGAGATCTCTGGGGGTGGATTTGTTGTCACTCGTATGTGGGATTGCTATTTTCTATGCCTGTGTTTCGGGGCTGAAAAAATAGTGATCTCAACACTTAACGTCTTAAGAAAGATTAAATTTCCTGCATGAGAACCTGTGTTTCGGGGCTGAAAAAACATCTTAAGAAAGATTAAATTTCCTGCATGAGAGATGCTATTTTTTAAGAAGCTTTTTTAACTTCCAGTAATGGGTAATAAGAAACTCTGATTGCTTCTCTTTCTTTTTAGATGTACTAAAGATGTGTATGCTCCTGTTGCATATGTAAAATAGATCATTGAAAATAGCCAAGCCCAAAGCAAAGCTTAAAGTCAGGAGGTCAGAAAGCCCCATCTTGATGAATGCCTTGACTTGTGAGTTGAAAACTGCCATCATTTGTGAGGGATTTTTAAGACTATATTTGCAAACTTGTTTGTAGATTTTTCTATGGAAATGTTTTACTTAAATATCTCTTGTTCTCAATTATTTGCTGTATTCTATGGGATTATTAAATAATCTCTTAAGAATTAAAAATACGTGATTGTTTGTCATGTCAGCCTGATACCAGCACCTAAGAAACATTTGTAATAACATGAAAGATACAAATGCTATATATTTTAAATATAAGTAATATGAAATAACTGTTTCTGAAGCAGGTCCAGAGATGGAGCTGGTTTGTAAGACAGTCATCTTTTTCCTGTTAGTCTCCTCAGCCTTCGAAAGACACGCCTCCGTCTAATGAAGCATGTAGTTAAAGATAATAGTTATATTTATAGAATAGAAGGAATCATAAATATTTTTCACCAACAGCACTACCCTGTCACTGGGCATGAACTTTAGCTGCAGTGACCTCTCTGCTAATTTCTTTTGTAAACTTGCATCTGGCAAATGCTACATTTCATTAAGAATTGCCACCTACCTACAAGTTGCATTTTATTCTTTAATGAACATAATTTACTTTCAAAATTAGGACAGGAAGGTATTTGTACTTCATTCTGTGTTTCCCTGCCTTCTCCCTCCCCCCGATCTTTGTTTGATGATAAAGATATTTCATGTGGAGAAAGTTAATTAGTTTTTCTGCTTCTCCTTCCCCAGTTCTATATGCTTCATGGGGTAGGAAAGGTGTTCTCTTTCTGATTTGACGCTGCTCTACTGAAAAATAAGCAGCAGATGGTGCTGTAAAGTTCCTATTTGAACTTGTTATTCAAACATCAGGGTGGGAGGTGGGGGGAAATCCCAGAGTACAAGGTATAAGATTGGCTATCTGAGTAACAGCAGAAGTTGGGAGATGTTTTCTACTGTAAATTAAAGATAATATTTCTTGACAGAGCAGTAAGTTGCTCAGATGATTCCAAGTATGCTTTAGACAAAAAAACTGGTTATTAAAGGAAATAAACTGGGAGGCGGAACTGGCTTTTCAATATAGTTACGTAGAATTTTGTGTTTAGTTAATTTGCAGTGCAGGCAGCAGATTCAGGAAGATGTTCTCAGCTCTTCACTTGTGCTGTATTTGAATGTAGAAAAGCGAGCTGTCTCTTCCCTGCAGGAGTTCAGGTGGGTGATCTGTGTGTCCACCCTGCTGAGAGAGCATGTGTTCTCAAGGCTGAAGGAAGGACTACTTTAGAAAGCAAAAAAATGATATTGTTCAAATTTCTCAATATTATTGGGCATGAGGGTGCACTTGCTGCTGCTGCTTGAATTCATGTAACAACCACTTTTCCATGTGGGTGAGACGCCACGTCTCAGATTTCCTTTATGCACCTGGGAATTCTAGCACAAACATGCCCCTTGCTGGCCTGACCACCCTGAGCCGTGGTGGCCCTCAGCCCCAGCAGTGCAGATAACTCTGCTCTCGCTATTTCCTGCATCCGGAGCTGTGCTGGGATTCCTCTTAAACCAAAAAAAGGCCAAGAGTAGGTGAAAAATACTGTCTATTTATTTTATCTTCTTCTGAAATGGAGGCAGCATCAGCAAATGTCAGTTGACGTTCAAGCATAAAGGGGAACCTGGGCGTCTCAGAAGATGTTGAACTTTCTTCAACTAATTGTTGACCTTCAGCTATTTGTTTGGCTGATTTTTATATCAACTTGTCTTGACTTGTTATCACTGTAGTGTCATCCAGTTCTGGGAACATTTATCTGTGTAATAAGAGGTTTGGCTGATTTTTATATCAACTTATCTTGTTATCACTCTAGTTCTGGGAACATTTATCTGTGTAATAAGATAATTTCAGTTAAATATTACTTCTACTGTAATATAAGTAGAGTGGAATACCTGTTTCTGAAGCAGGCCCAGACATGAAGCTGGCTTGTAAGGCAGTCATCTTCTTTCTGTTAGTCTCTCCCAGCCTTGGGATAGATGAGGAATTTGCTCAGAATTTTATTGCCATCGCTGGACCTCTACCCAGTGAGTTAGTAAATGGATGGCATCTGCAGAACCAAGTCCTACCCAAGGAACATCAAGGCCCTGCTGCAGCTGAAGCCCATGATTACCTGTGTCAAGGTAACCTTGTGGCTTCTGAGCTTCCCAGGTACTTCTCCCACCTTCGGAAGGCAGGGGTGACACATTACAAAGTCTTCCTGCCGTGGGCACGCATCCTTCCTGAGGGGGATGCCAGGAAGCCAGATGAAGTCCAAGTGCAGTGCAACCAGGAGCTGCTCAAGACCCTGGTTGCTGCAGGCCTCAAGCCGGTGGTTGTTCTACACCACCACCACGTTCCTAGCGCCGTGGCCGCCCAGGCCAAGGGCAGGAAAGCCAATGCTTTTGCTGACCTTTTTGGGGAATACGCGGAGTTCAGCTTCCGTGTGTTTGGGTACCTGGTGGATGTGTGGCTCACCTTCAGTGACCTGCCGGAGGTCCTTCAAAGCCTGCCTTACGATGACCCCCAGTACCGAGCCCAGGCCCTCGCTGCCGCTCATGAAAGAGCTTACACCATCTACCATGAGAAATATTCACCAGCAGGTAAGGAGAATGGGGAGAGGGATATTTTTTTTGGTTTTAATATGACTTTTTCACAAATATTTTGTGATGGGATTAAAAGGCAACCGCTACATGCGGTCTCCGTGGGACTATGCTGTCAGTGCTCTCAGAATTGCATAGAAATCCTTGAGTATCCTTCAAACCCTTATTTTGATAATTGTTTTATAATCTACTGGTAATTGCATTTTACTTGAAACGATAGCCAAAATAGTTGGGGATAATACATATATGTATTTGTATGTATATTTATATTTAATCTTCTAAGCATCAGGGAAGTGTTAAATAGCCTCCAGCTAATTTGAAGAGCAGAAGATAGTACTTCAAAACCAAACATCGTGATGTGTCTGCATGCTTTTTTCCTAAGGGCTGTTGTCCATTTGCTCTTAATTTAAAGACCAGTAGATGCCCCCAGTGCACTGTAGACTCTTACTGTTCATATACCAAACTTTAAATGTGTTGTATAATAAAAGTGGGACTGAGATTTAGGAACAATCTTTGATTCCTGCCCAGTCATCTCATTTTTAAAGCCTTATTTATTAAAAGCCTTATTACTTATTTCTATGTCACTGAAAACTAAGGTTGCAATTGCTACCATTTCAATTCAGAGAGGAAGAACACGCTATCAGTCAGTGGCTATGCTATAATCTCTTCTTCATTAAGGCTTGATGTGTTCCCAAGGAATACAGCTTTGGAGTTCCAGATCTAGCTGAAGAATCAGGTCAAATTCAACTGTCAGCCCTCCACCCAAAAGGTGGAAATCCTTGAAAACGTAGTGACAAAATCCACTTAAACGAAACGGATCATGGTTTAAAATTACATTTCTCACTTAACTAGAGTGAAAGGATTTTTTTTTAAACTTTAAAAAGTAATAATAATTTAACTTTAAAAAAGTTAAATAAACCAACATGAAAAAATATTTACTTTTTAGCTTAAAATGAAAATAAATTATCAGTTAAAAATACTTTAAAATTACTCAAGTCCAGTCTCATTCAATTTTATTTTTTTCTGTGTAAAATGACAAAACCATAATAATCAAGCTATTTTGTAGATATGCTTTTGTGTGCCTCTTCCTGACTCATTGAAGAAAGACTAAAAACTTCCTGAAATGTACCTCAGACGTTCTGAAATCAGCTACCTAGGGCACTGTCTGATGATACACATCTTCAAAAGTTTTCAACATACTCAAAAAAAACACTGCAGTGAACTGAATTTTTTTGCTTGTCCTTAACACACCACTAACAGACAGCCTCTTTTTTGTTTTTTTCCAAGGTGGAAAGCTGTCCATTGCTTTAGGAATGGGTCATACCTCGGATAACGCTCCATCAGAATTGCTTTCAGTTTTTCTACAGGTAACTCCTTAATATAAATTATTTCCAAAATTATATAAATTTTATTTGATTTAACTTGATTTTTATGTACAGGATCAAGTGACATATTGCAAGTTATATAAAATTTTAGCAAATTGACTAACTTGGCAAATTTTATTTATTAGATTAGTTTGATCATGTGAAGCTCACTAACTTAAAAAATTACTTCAGCATCATTTCTTGGCTAGTAAGCACTGATAGAGATATATGGAGTCGTATTAGATCTCCTAATTGGCAACTGTAGCAATTGTATATTGCTTAAAATAGAAGGAGTCTGCAAAAGGTTTATTTCTTCTGCAATTCTACTTACTGCACCACCAAAGAAATAGATACTTTATTTTAAATAGCTGCTATTTAAAAAAATCTGCTTATTATGTTAAAACACAGCTGGAGCTGTGCTAAAGGTGGTCTCATTGCATGGGGATGGCACGAAATGGGGAGAATGTAATCACTATGAAGATGATGAAATCCTTTCTGTAATCCTTGAGCTTGATTCTAGGGGGAATAATGCTTGTGGTTTGGAATGACCAAAGGTTTCTGAAGTGGACTTTCCCCAAAGGATTATGATAAGGCCTAACTGAACCACATGGTTGCAAAGGTTTCCCTATCTGATTCAGCATAGACTTCGTCAGTCTTA